AGTCCCTCATTTTCCAGCACGTGTTGCCATTTGTTTAGCCGTCTCTGTAATTCTTCCCTGCCCTCATCAATGAGGACTATGTCATCTGCAAACAGCACACACCAGGGTATGTCCTCTTGTACAGCAGATGTTATCACATCCATAACTAATAGGAAGAGGTATGGGCTGAGTGCTGACCCCTGATGTAAGCCCACTCTTACTTCAAACGTGTCCGTCAATTCGGCTGCAGTTCTAACTTGCGTGCTGGCCCTATAGTACATATCTTCAATTGTCACAATGTATTGAAGCGGCACACCTTTCTTACTAAGGCACCACCAAAGGACTTCTCTTGGGACTCTGTCATACACTTTTTCCAAGTCTATGAACACCATATGCAGGTTTCTCCTCACAGATCGGTACTTCTCCATCACCTGTCTCACCACGAATATGGCATCTGTAGTACTCCTCCCAGGCATAAATCCAAACTGGCCTTCAGTGACACTAGTTTCCTCTCTAATCCTCCGTTCAATTACCTTTTCAAAAAGTTTCATTGTGTGAGCCAATAGTTTTATCCCCCTATAATTACTGTATTACATTCCTGCATATCCCCTTTTTCTTTAAAGATGGGTACTAAATAGTTTCTTCTCCATTCATTGGGTATAGTTCCCTCTAACAGTACTTTGTTAAACAGCTCTGTTAACCAGTCTCTTCCCTCCTCTCCTAGGACTTTCCATACCTCTATTGGTATCNACTGGAGATATAAGAACAGATCTTATTTCATCATTTATATAGCAAATGAAAAATCAGCATTAAAAAACATTTGTTTTGTGAAATTTATTTGAAATGAAATTATTTTGTAGGGAGTGGTCATTTAATTAGTGAACTAATTCATGCTTAATTTACTCTTTGTTAGCAATTCCTTTACACATTTGTTGAGGTTTGAGAGTATTAGTTATTCTGTTTAGCTGTTGTTTGTGGGATAATTTTTCTATTTTGTTTAGAATAATTTACTTATTCCATTATATTCTATATCTGCGGTTTCCAACGTTGCGAAAGAGGTTTTATAATCACCCAACATGTTTGTTCCATAGACTTAACATTGTATCTTTGCCACTCCATCATGCTGGAACCTTTACACCTTTCTCAAATCTCTCTTCAGCAGAATCATATATAGGGTAAGAGCTTTAATTTGATCCTGAACTATATTTTTAGCCTCAAAGCTGTTGTTCAAAGTAATTTGACAAACTGAAACCCTCTTTCAATTAATATAATTTGATTTTTCACTCCTAAAGCATATAATTAAATTTGCTTTTTTATGCCCCATTATATGTTTATTCAAATATGTATTTCATTTTAGTTTTATAGAATTTAAAATTTTAAATATGTTTGAAAATTATATTTGTTTAGAAAATACCTTAAATGATGAATAAAAGCAACTATTCTTATTTATTTTAAAGATATCAATATTTATATGTTTATATTATTGAAAAATGGAAAAAAATGGAATTTTTATAAAACAAGATTTAGATGATATGCAGAATATTTGAAGATACCTTTATCAAAACTGTTACAATAACTCTTTATGTTCATTGAATCAAACTTTATATCAATTCATTATTAATGACTGATTGACTAAGATTAAATACTGTATTTACAAGAATTTATTATAAAGATATATTATAAACATATTACTGCTCATATTGATTCTTGCAAGATTGTCACTTTAGCCAAATTACCACATGCTTACTATTGGATAGCATATTATCATTTCAACATTAGCTCCATTTGCCAGAACATTCATGTAAAATTTGCTGGTATTTCTTACCATTTATTCAACCATACTATGAATTGTGTTGTTAGTATAAATGTATTGTTTTAGATCTATGTAAGAATAAAAATAAACAGTTTTCTTCTGATTGTTTGTCCCAAAGAACTGTTTTGAAATGTTTTATACAAGATTTCATGATTCAAGTAATGAATTCAATTTATGTATTCAAGATTATAATTAAAATTAAAATCATCCTAAAAATTACAAGATTTTTTTAGAATGATTTTAATTTTACAAAGTGATATTAGTCTGCAATTAAAAAATTATTAAAAGTATCAATTTTTCCAACATGGTACATAGTGTTTAACCATATACTACTGTACATATATTTTAAATAGTTTGATTTGTCTTATAATATATATGTCTTATAAAATATAATTATATAAATACTGCTTAAACTTTTTGGTGCAAGGCTCTCTAAATCTATACTAATATTATAAAGAGGTAATGTTTGGCTTTTGAATTTAGTAAATTATATCCAAAATTTTTAAAACTCCATTAAATTGCAAAATGTATTCATGTATTCAATCTGTGTTTAACTCCNGATTCGTCTCTTGTTTGAGCGCCACGCAACTCTTGATTACTGACTCCCCCCACACTATTGTTCAGCTTACATGTTCGGACGTGTCGCGCGGAATTGACACATAAATAACACAAAATAAATTGTAGCTATTTCTGTGTTTGTTATATCTACGGAGCCTTGAGAGACTCTATGTGGTGATTTCTTGTAACCGTAAATGAATCAAAAGACGAGATAAGATTAACGAGAACATTTATTAGCTTACATACATCCAACTTGGATTTTACACAAATTGGGAAATTATACCCCGACTTACGTGGTTATCGCTTGGTCCCACCTATCGCGTAAGTTCAGGGTATTACTGTATACTAGTGACAAAGGGGGCTCATGTTTACATTTTTTTAAAGTTTTCTCTGTATTTTTATCAATTATTTCTATGTATATTAATTCTGTTTTTTGTTAACCATTGCCATCATACATTATGTTTGTTTTGTAATGGCATATAATTCTGTATTTTTAAATTTTTATGTTCCATGCTCATGTGCAAAGAGCAATTTGAAAATGTGTTCTATCTCTAGATTTATAATGTTCCATCTGCCATATTACCTGAAGACAGTTATGTACTGTTGAAAGTGCTTCTACTTGTTAATTAAACATATTTACCAGTAATGCCAATAGACAGTTTTTATGTTTTTTGTTTATTTTTAGTAAGTGGCATCCTTGTTTTTATATCTCTACTTTTATGATGAAACTTTGCAACAATGGGAGAGCTGCCCAGCAACTGTATCCCAACTGTTACCCACATTGTCTAGTTCTGATGCACACAGTATTTGCATGTGTCAACGGTTGTGCTAAGCAGGCAGTTTCACTGTAGAGCAATCCGAGGCTGGTGCCAAGGAGAACTCAAATGCCAGACTTTAAAAAACAGGTTTTGGTACATAGTGCAGCAAATCAATTAAAAAAATACACAAACACTTGCTAACATACAGGTAATGAACCATATGAGTTTGTGGCAGATATTTGACTAAGCAGTCTATGCTTTGTAGTTTCTCTAACAGTGCAAGAACCCAGATTTCCAAAGCTGGTGTTGTTTTTGGACAGGGTATCATTTATCATTGAGAGCCTGTTCAATTCATGGAATGACCAGATTTATAATTATGAAAATCTGCCTATGGCACTCATTCCAGAGCATTCCAACACTCACTGGTTTGTCATCAATGTGTGGACAGGAATTGTAGAGCAGTGGCTAATGGGATCATATATATATACAGGAAGGTAGCATATATATATATATATGCTACCTTCCTGTCTCAATGACACACTATGACTATATTTGACAATTCTGCAGGAAGAATTGCCTAGACTTCTGGAAGACATTCCCTTTAACACCTAACATTGCATGTGCTTCCATAATGGGAAACTAGTATAGTTAAGTCTTGTTATTTGAAATCACCTAAACCACATGTTCAGAGACAGAGGGACATGTGCCATGCCACATGTCCCTCTGTCTCTGAACATGTGGTTCCCTGTCATATATCCCTGATATGACACCTATCAATTCCTTTTTTTTATAGGCCACATGAAAAGTCTTGTCTACAAGATACCAATCAACTCTGCTGAGGAATTAATAGTGCAATTTTAACAATTGGAGTTGACATCCTAGGACTTATCTTACACATGTAAAGTACAGTACCATAACATGGTTCAAAGGTGGACCACATGCAATGAAGTTAATAACCATCATTTTGAGCACCTCCTGTAAGTGGAAGTTTCACAAAAGCAAATAAATAAGTATAAAAACCTTTTCCTATCCTTTTCCATTTCTGATCTGTACACCACTGGCAGGAGCACTGATATTACACAGTTACACTTTGTATTTTCATATTTATTAGCATACCAATGGCACAAACACATAAATTTACATAATTTAATTTTTGTTTGTTTGTACAATTGCAAACTTTTATTTCTTTTTACAACCGTTCAAACAAATTTATTGTTTTTTTTTTTTTTTTGTAAAATTGATGTTTCTTATGCCACATGAAAAGTTGTATCTGTTTAGCAGAGATTTAGCCCTACTATCATCCCTACCAGTTTGTTACAGGAGTTCAGATACATGCTGTATATTATTATTAAAGGATCTGTTTGCTTGATATTTTCAAAGATTATAGAAACTAAAAGCTCATTCAGCATTGCTACAATTAAAACACATGATTCACAATTGACATTAATAAATTTTTCTCATAATTATTCAATGTCAGATGTCCAAGACAGGAAAGAAGACAACCTGTTGCTCTATAGAGTTCGGGTTTGAATCCAGGTTAATCTTCAAAAATTTTTAATTGTTTGACTATATGTCAGATCTCTCTCAACATCTGACTAACCCACTGTGAGACTGGCTGAACCACAATTGGCTCTGAAAAAGAAGCTCAGTGCCCACAGGAATAAGAGTTGAAATCAAATTTTGTTGGTATTTAAATTATTGATATACTTTTATGTTTTGAAGTCAGATTCAATTGATTACCCGTCATTTCTGATGATGGGTAATCAATTGAATGAAATATTGCTAAGTCCCATCATTTTTGATGAGACTTAGCAATATTTCCTGTAATAATTTTCTTCTCCTTAAATCCAATATAAAAGCAGTCTAGCATATCATAAATTTATCAGATTAACAAAACTCAAAATATACAAAACAAATTTATTTTTATTTACTAAAAAAAAGAAATGAAGTACATTTTGTAATAAAAAACTAGTTTAATTTGGCCATTGCTGGATAAAATGATTTCCTTATTGTAATTTACCATTATATCCTATGAATGTAAACTCTTACGGTTCTGATATTAACTGGAGGATTCAATGATGATTCGTTTGGTTCTGTTGTCTGTTCACTATAGAGTACATAAATAAATAAAATCCAACTATTTTATATATATTCTCTATAAATATATTGAATGATTTGCAAATTACCTTTTAAAATAACAATAAGAAAGAAATAATAAACTGTGCACGATCACCAAAATCAATGTTACAAGTAAAAAAATGGTAACATTGCTGAAATAAAGAAAAATTATCTGTTAAACAGAATATGAAATATATTTATTAATCTTAATAGCAAAAATCAACAAAAATATAAATTTTCTACAAGCATATTGGCAAAATTAACATAATAATTCAAAGATATTACTTTATACAATTGATTATTTTATTAAGAGTATTTTTCATGGCCATGCAAATAATACTTTATCTACCCACCGGAGTAAATCTCTGCCGATAGCACGATTACTCTGCCAATCCTGTGGATTATTTACATCTCGTTTCTTGCTTCGAGCATTCGCCCTATCAAAAACCCAATTTTTAAACTTTGATTCTTTCTTCAAATTAATATCTACTTTGGATTCAGCTCTGCCAGTCAATGATTTGCATTCTTCTTCATTTAAGTTTAATTGTTTTAACAATGTACAATGTTTTCTGTTAATCCTTTCTTGAATATTATTGTAAATGGAATGATTTAAATATAAAAACATTTCTTGGTTATCTATGCAGTAATTTAAACCATCTTTGAGTAATTCTCTTAATTTCCTAACTTCGTTGGTGAGATTTTCATTACGATCCTGTAAATCCTTTAGATTTTCTTCCATTAAACTATAATTTAATATACTAATATCTTCATTCAATCTTTGAACCTGCACTTTCATTTCCGTAATATCTCTCATTAAAGATGTGACATTTTCGTTACGATTTAAGATTTTATTAAAAAGAACATCCTAAATAAACAATTTTAGAATTACATTCATTATATAATATAAATTTCATTTGATTTTGTTAAAAAAAATAAATTTACAGATTTTTGTAGCCCTCTCATTTTATATTTCACATCTCTAGACAATTCTTTGAGCATGATGCTTAAATCTTGTAGCAGTGCAATTTCTGTTGTTTTTTCTAGAAATTATAATAAATATATTTTTAATCACTTGATTTAGAGTGATAATAGAAAATCAATAATTTAAAGAGTTACCTTTCGTATTGTGCATATTAAAAATAAAGGCTATTATTAGTATTAGACCAAAAAGTATATAGTGTTTTTGAAAAATAGTTGATTCTGTTTGGTGTTCGGGTTCTACTGTTATGAAACGTGGATCAATTTGGTCAGTTTGAATTCCAACATTTTTCCTCTCAACTTCTTCCTTCACTTCTACATTTGATATATCTACTAAAATAAAAAATTAATTTAATGCTGAATGCTGCATCATCCCATGGAATGCTAAATTAGCTGAACTAATGCAACTGACCCCATTTGCTGGAGACAGCTGGTTGCCAGCATAACACTTGGCACAGGAAGACCTAAGACTAATTTAATGCTATATATTTTGATTATTTCTCTTACCTGGAGAGTTGAAAACAGACCAATGGGATGAAATTGAAGATTGTAATGACTCAGCATAATCTATTAATTCAATATCACTTGATGAATCATTTTTTTCACTCTTTAAATTATCAGTTTCCTTTAGATCTTGTTGTTCAACTAAAGATTCATCTCTAAAAGAAGATTATTTTTAAATTAATCTCATATATAAAAAATACTATCAATTTTTTCCAGCTTTCACTTACATAAATTCGACATTTGTTAAAGAAAAAAAAAATACTGTTACAAATCTTACTATTAAAACAACAAATATTATGATTCTATCAAATATATACTGAATGATTCATTTACTAACAGAAATAAATTCAAATGTACTTTTTACTTATCTTATTCATAAATAGAACTGCAGTATTGTAAAATTATTATTTGTTGGAAATCTTTGCAACTATGAACTTTCCATACTTTATTCAGGTTGTTTATCTCAATGTTTAATTTTGTATTACAACTTTTGTGTAAGACAATATAACACATTTCTTTGATCCTGAGATATACTTTAAATCCATTTTTACTCGTATGAAATATAGATTCATCTTAAAATTGATAGCATATTACATCCATAGTCCAATACAATAGTCAATAGCAATCATGCCAAACAATTCCTGAGTTACATCAGGCTATAGTAAGGCTACCATTTAATAAAATATTGAGTAATTTGGCCTAGAGATAGATGTTAGACACGATTACTTGATATTTAATTATTAAACGTTAGCCTTATTATAGCCTTATATAATTTGGAAATTGTTTGGCATTAATCTAAAAATTGAGTTTAATAGATGTTTATATTAGTCAACAGTCATCACCACCTACAGTGCACACATAATAGACATTTTTGGCTATATTGCTCAACACACTCAGCTCACATTTTCTGGACAATATACAATAATAAAGATAATAGTCTAAATTCATACTTGAGATTGAAACAAGACTTCTAAACATTTTGATATTTCCTTAAATATTTGAACCATGCAATATCAAAGAATACTCATACTAAGGATGGTCTACATATTAAATCCAACTTTAGAAAGTTGCTCATTTATTGCAATCTCACTGTTTCATAATACATGTGACAGACACCTCACAATAACAAATAAAATTCAAAAAATGCATTAATAGGTGCTTAAAACTCTCTACAAAACTAAAATTTAAGACTAAAAATCTTGTTCTAATTCCATTAGAGCAGGGCTTCTTAAACTTTTTTTATTCACGACCCCATTTATAATTGTGATTTTTTCACAACCCAAAAAATATAAAATAAAGATATATACAAATTTGCAAAAACAATAATGGTGTACTACCACAGTTCACTCTTGTGTTACCATGGAACAGAGACAACTGAATACACTGAAAAGCGAAAACACTATACTAGTTCACACTACAGTGTTGCTGAATCATTGTCTCGCTGCACCAGAAGTGACACAAAGCGCAACTCACGAAACCAAGGGCCATATTCTGGTCACTGTCTCTGGTCTCTCGTCTCTCGCAAGCCGGTTGCTGGTTGGCTAATCCAAATGATTAGCAAATCGGCGACCGGCTTGCGAGAGATGAGAGACAGTGACCAGAATACAGCCCCAACACAAAGCGTGCCATTTTCAAACTCTCACAAATTATTTTCAAATTTTGCATTAAAATCTTGCGACCCCAAATGGGGTCGCGGCCCATAGTTTAAGAAGCCCTGCATTAGAGCAATTTTTTATTTTTATTCATAGAATATGTCAAACAATTAAATTGTTTGCAATAGTCATATCACCAAATAATCTCTTAAATCTTATATTTTAAAAAATCAAGTTAAAAAGTTATTCAGCATAAATTTTATATTTAGCAATATGACATCACTATATTTAAACAGGAGGAATAATTTATTCCTTTTAAAAATACTTTCCTATTCTATTTAAATGCTGTTTTAAGAATGAGTCATTATAATAAAAATAATAACAACTATTATAATGCTCTGTTAATTATCATTGTTATAAAAATATCACTGGATTATTTATATCTTAAAGTTTTACAGCCATCTTTGGATTTTATAACAGAAAAAAATCTAAAATATAAATGCCACAAAATTTAAGCATGTATAACAGAACAAAGATGATTATTATTAAATAAATGTAATGGACAAACATTTTCCATTAAATTTTATTTTGGATTACAATGATTTTTTTGTTTTAGATTCAAAAATTGAAGGAATATTATTCAATATGGGATAATTTTGTAGTAAATAATATATAAAATAGTTATTAATTTCCTCTTCCATATTGTAACTGTTATAGGAGATAACTTAGACATTTTACAATGCTGAAAGTTATGTTTTAGACTCTTCTTTATGAAATATTTTTAGAATGTTTGTAATTCTGTCATTAGAATGCATTAAAATTGGAAGTGTTTAATTTAGAATAATTCTTTATTTTATAATTTATATAGCTTTTGAATTTAGTAAATTATATCCAAAATTTTTAAAACTCCATTAAATTGCAAAATGTATTCATGTATTCAATCTGTGTTTAACTCCTACTGAGAGTTTTTTACAACAGTGTAACAAGTACAGAATATAAAATAGAATTAAATAATCAATATTTATTACTTTTTCTTTACTCAATTTATATGTAGAAAAATAACTACAAGAATGGTTCAACTTCTGTCTGGAATTTCAGTAATGGTGATGGGATACAGTAATGGATGGCTACATGTAATTTGTTTTTTCCTATAGGTACTCTCCCTCCACATACATCTCTCCCGTCAGTTTGGTAATGGTGGTATGCATGCAGAATAGAAGTATTTTTACTGGTGTCAGAGCATGGACATGTGCATGGTGGAGGCAATCAACAGACTTGGTTAGGAAATTCTGGATCATCTGGACCACAGTTTGGATCTGTCATCATGCAATTATCACTCTTTTTGGCCCTTTAAAGTAAGCCTTTGGAGACCAGAGTACTTTATACAGTGGCTCTTAAGTCAAGAGTTTGTCATGCAGTGGTTCTGACACCAGTCAAGATATTTCTATTCTGCATGCATACTGTTGTTGTCAAAACAAAGGGTGTCAAGTGTGGAGAATATGTAGAGGGAAAAAAACACAATTTGGGACTATGCAACACACACTATTCCATTGCTATTACTGAAATTCTGGACAGAAGTTGAACTGCTTTGTATAAATTTGTCTTACACATAAATTTATACAAGGGCAATTCAACTGGAGATATAAGAACAGATCTTATTTCATCATTTATATAGCAAATGAAAAATCAGCATTAAAAAACATTTGTTTTGTGAAATTTATTTGAAATGAAATTATTTTGTAGGGAGTGGTCATTTAATTAGTGAACTAATTCATGCTTAATTTACTCTTTGTTAGCAATTCCTTTACACATTTGTTGAGGTTTGAGAGTATTAGTTATTCTGTTTAGCTGTTGTTTGTGGGATAATTTTTCTATTTTGTTTAGAATAATTTACTTATTCCATTATATTCTATATCTGCGGTTTCCAACGTTGCGAAAGAGGTTTTATAATCACCCAACATGTTTGTTCCATAGACTTAACATTGTATCTTTGCCACTCCATCATGCTGGAACCTTTACACCTTTCTCAAATCTCTCTTCAGCAGAATCATATATAGGGTAAGAGCTTTAATTTGATCCTGAACTATATTTTTAGCCTCAAAGCTGTTGTTCAAAGTAATTTGACAAACTGAAACCCTCTTTCAATTAATATAATTTGATTTTTCACTCCTAAAGCATATAATTAAATTTGCTTTTTTATGCCCCATNAATCCTCCGTTCAATTACCTTTTCAAAAAGTTTCATTGTGTGAGCCAATAGTTTTATCCCCCTATAATTACTGTATTACATTCCTGCATATCCCCTTTTTCTTTAAAGATGGGTACTAAATAGTTTCTTCTCCATTCATTGGGTATAGTTCCCTCTAACAGTACTTTGTTAAACAGCTCTGTTAACCAGTCTCTTCCCTCCTCTCCTAGGACTTTCCATACCTCTATTGGTATCTGATCCGGGCCCACAGATTTCTCATTTTTCATTTTATTCAATGCTAGCTGTACTTCCCATTTCTCTATTATGCCTACTAGGCCAATATTTGGCTCTTACATTTTCAGTTTTAGTTTGTCTGTCATTCTCCACATTCATAAGGTCTTTAAAGTATGTTTTCCACCGGGCCTTAATTTCTTCATTTTTAGTTAGCACTTTGCCATTTGTGTTCTTTATACACTTGCTATAGGTCATATCTTTACTCCCTCTGCCTCTCATTTTCGCAAGTCTATATATGGCTTTTCTACCCACTTTTCCCGTGAGTGACCTATACATTTCGTCCTGGGCTTGAGCCTTAGCTATGGCGACCTCTGTCTTTGCCTTCTTTTTCATCTGCACATAGACCTCTCTTTTCTTTTCCCTTACCTTATTATCTCCTTTCTCATTCTGCCAACTTTTAAAGGTATCTTTCTTCTTCTCTCTTATAGCTTTCTTTACTTCTTCATTCCACCACCATACCTCCTTCTCTATTTTCCTAACTGACTTTGTTTCTCCCAGAAGTTCCTTTGCAATCCTTCGTCTTTCCCTGGCCACCTGTATCCACCATTCATCTGCCGAGTCATTGCACTTCGCATTACCATTAATAACGCTTATTACTTTTTATTTAAACTCTATTGCCCTTTCCCCTTTTAACAACCACCATTTAATTTTAGGTATCAGTTTATCTTTATACTTAATCCTATTAAGATCAATCCTTAATTCCATTACTAAGAATCTATGCTGACTAGTTAAGTCTTCTCCTGGTATCACTTTACAGTTCTTAATCCCTTTTAGTCTATTTGTGATTTATGATCCCCGCTGTTATAAGTTATTAAATGTTCTTCACATTTATCAAAATAAGTGTTGACCACAACTAAATCATAGGCAGTGGCCATTTGCAAAACACACTCTCCTTCAAAATTTCTACCACCAAATCCTTTGCCTCCGTGTACTCTCTTATAACCAGCATTATTTTTTCCCACATGCCCGTTAAAGTCCGCTCCAATAAATATCTCCTCATCTGTCGATACCTCTGTCATTATCTTAGCCAAATCTTCCCAAAATTGCTCTTTAACTCCAGCATCTACACCCGCTTGCAGCGC